ACAAGCCAACAGTGAGGCTGATGTTCCCCGCCGAAATCCCTAGCATTAGTGGACCAGCGGCTGCCAGGCAGGATACGCCCACATTTTCGAGAGATGGATAGAAAACAAGCTAAAACGAAAGTGATTTTTCCTACAATCAAGGACCATAATTCAGGAAATTACAATTCGATATGCGCAAATATCGAAAGGAACCAAGATCTTTGGGTTATCAACTTACATTTCAAGTTTCAACAAAATCGGATAAAAATTGTGACCTCTATAGGGTCCACAACCTTGATATACCATATTTTTACGCAATATGAGAACGAGGGGCGGCCATTTTGTCTGTCAGTTTTGGGCTGATTTTCACGAAATTCGAACTCAGTCGTCCTTAGGGTGTAACGGTGATATAATAATACGTTTTTTTAAATCGGATAAAAATTATGACCTTTATAGGGTCCACAAGCTCAAAACGCGATTTTTTGTACAATCATGGGCCATAATTCAGTAAGTTACAGTCCGATATGCGCGAATATCGGAAGGAACCAAGATCTTTGGGTTATAAACTTACATTTCAAGTTTAAACAGAATCGGATAAAAATTGTAACCTCTATAGGGTCCACAACCTTGATATACCATATTTTTCACTATTTGAGAACGAAGGGCGGCCATTTTATCTGTCAGTTTTTGGCCGATTTTCACGAAATTCAAACTCAGTCGTCCTTAGGGTGTAACAGTGATATAATAATATGATTTTTTAAATCGGATAAAAATTATGACCTCTATAGGGCCCACAAGCTAAAAACGTGATTTTTCGTACAATCAGGGGCCATAATTCAGGAAGTTATGGTCCGATATGCGCGAATATTGAAAGGCACTGAGATCTTTGGGATATAAACTTACATTTCAAGTTTCAACCAAATCGGATAAAAATTGTGACCTCTATAGGGTCAACAACCTTGATATACCATATTTTTACGCTATTTGAGAACGAACAGCGACCATTTTCTCTGTCACTTTTGGGCCGATTTTCACGAAATTCGAACTCAACCGTCCATAGGGTTAAACGGTGATATAATAATAAGTTTTTTTAAATCGGATAAAAATTATGACCTCTATAGGATCCACAAGCCAAAAAATGCGTTTTTGCGTACAATCAGGGGCCATAATTCAGGAAGTTACGGTCCGATATGTGCGAATATCGAAAGGAACCAAGATCTTTGGGTTATAAACTTACATTTCAAGTTTCAACAGAATCGGATAAAAATTGTGACCTCTATAGGGTCCACAACCTTGATATACCATATTTTTACGCTATTTGAGAACGAACGGTGGCCATTTTGTCTGTCAGTTTTTGGCCGATTTTCACGAAATTCGAACTCAACCGTCCTTAGGGTTTAACGGTGATATAATAATATGCGCGAATATCGAAAGGAACCGAGATCTTTGGGTTATAAACTTACATTTAAAGTTTCAACAAAATTGGATAAAAATTGTGACCTCTACAATGTTCACAAGCTAAAAACGTGATTTTTCGTACAATCAGGGGCCATAATCCATGAAGTTATGGTCCGATAGATGCCAATATCGAAAGGAACCGAGATCTTAGGGTGATAAACCTATATTTCAAGTTTCATTGAAATCGGATAAAAATTGTGACCTGTAGACTGTTCACAAACAATTGTGGACGGACGAATGGACAGACAGACAGGGGTGACGACAATATACGTCCACATGAAAATGTGGTCGTATAAAAATGTGCATGAACAAATTATGTCAAGGCATTCACGTAATAGTATGAATGAATGAAATGTTGTTTGATGGCACGTCAGCTCCAACCGTGCTATATTGCGCCAAACATACGGTGAGGTTTCTCGAGACAAACTAGAAATAAATTATCACAATATTATCTATATATACATAAATAAAAACAAATATCACAGAAAATATCAAATAAAAATAAATATAAACTTTATGTGTATATATTTAAAACAAGAAAGAGAAAATCAGATATATAAAATTAAAATTTTCGATAAGAATTTCTCTTTTAAAAAATCTAGCGCTTTAAAATATAGACCTGGTTGGGCAAACAACCGATGAAGTCATTGGCAACGGTAATGCCGTAATCTAGTATCTTTGAGATGCTTGCACTCAATCACCAGCGGCTGCCAGGCAGGATATGCCCACATTTTCGAGAGATGGATAGAGAACAAGCTAACAAGAAAGTGATTTTTCCTACAATCAAGGGCCATAATTCAGGAAATTACAATTCGATATGCGCAAATATCGAAAGGAACTGAGATCTTTGTGTTATAAACTTACATTTCAAGTTTCAACAAAATGTGATTTTTCGTACAATCTGGGGCCATAATTCAGGAAGTTACAGTCCGATATGCACGAATATCGAAAGGAACCGAGATCTTTGGGTTATAAACTTACATTTCAATTTTCAACAAAATCGGATAAAAATTGTGACCTCTATAGGGTCCACAACCTTGATATACCATATTTTTACGCTATTTGAGAACGAACGGCGGGCATTTTGCTATCAATTTTGGGCCGATTTCTACGAAATTCGAACTCAACCTTCCTTAGTGTGTAACAGTGATATAATAATACGGTTTTTTAAATGGGATAAAAATTATGACCTCTATAGGGTCCACAAGCTAAAAACGCGATTTTTTGTACAATCAGGGGCCATAATTCAGGAAGTTACAGTCCGATATGCGCGAATATCGAAAGGAACTGAGATCTTTGGGTTATAAACTTATATTTCAAGTTTCAAAAAAATTGGATAAAAATTGTGACCTCTATAGTGTCCACAAGCTAAAAACGTGATTTTTCATACAATCAGGGACCATTATCCATGAAGTTTCGATCCGATACATGCCAATATCGAAAGCAGCCGAGATCTTTTGGGGATAAACCTATATTTCAAGTTTCGTCAAAATCGGATAAGAATTGTGACCTGTACAGAGTCCACAAACAATTGTGGACGGACGGACGGACGTCCGGACGGACAGGGGCGACGGCATAATACGTCCACATGAAAATGTGGGTGTATAAAAATGTGCTTAAGTGTCAAAGGAACATGACAGTGTTCACATTCTGGTTGAGGTTCTCGCTTTAAGATGAAAATGTGCGTTAAAAGAGTATGACCTATGCGAGAGCAACACAAGACAACTTCATCTCTCCTGTTCGCACGTAATAGACACCTACACCAATTTTGAAAATTCTAACTCAATTAGAAGTAGAGTAATTGTGTTCCAAACGTCTAGACCAATCAGATTGAAGTCTCTACTTTGCCTAAGCAGAAAATGCTCAACATCGAACCTTGTTAAGGTATTGATGTACAGTGGACTATGTCATATCCGACATCGTCCGGGATCGTTACAATATTTCGGATCACACAGCATGTCGGAATACCGAGCATTGCTCCAAAACCGGAAATACTGTAACTTCGAAAACCAGATGTATTTTTATATTGTAGCTTCGAATCACGGCTGATTGATGTCGTAATCCGGAACATACAGAATCCGGATTTACCAGCGATTTTTTGGCTGAAGTAATAAGGAAATAAATCGGGACATGAAAATCATGTCGGATGTCACAGCAATCCGGAGTGATCAGACATCGGATGTGACAGAGTCCACTGTAATACATGTGTAACACCACTATCACTCAAACAGCATCAAAGTTTTCGAGCTCCAAAGTCTTTGCTTAACTTGAGCCGAAAATGCACTCCTAATCAAACTTATTGTCTGAACCATCGTAAATTTAAACGAATTTCTTCGATTATGATCAAACTACTTAACTTTGGTTATTATAAACTTACCTGTGTGTTTGAAATCAACTCCCATTACGATGGTTCAGACAGTAGTCAAGGTATTAATGTGATGAAATTATACACCAAGTTTCATCAATCTCACTTAATTAGAACCAAAGTGTGCCAAAGCATCAACCAATCAAATTGCTTATCTCTGCTTACCCTAAGCAGAAAATGCTCATCTTTGATCTCCATCAAGGCATTCACCCAATCAATACTTACATAAGTTTGAACATTCTACCTCAATTTCACGGAGAGTTATTGTGTTCCAAAGTCTTGACCAATCAAATTGCTTATCGAACTTAGTCAAGGTATTGATGTAATGAAACTATACACCGAATTTCATCACTCTCACTTAATAAGACATAAAATTATCGTGTCCCCAAAGCATCAACCAACCAAATTGAATATCTCTGCTTACCCTAAGCAGAAAATGCTCTTCTTCGAACTCCATCAAGGCACTCACCTAATAAACACCTACACCAAGTTTGAACATTCTAGCTCAATTAGATGGAAAGTTATTGTGTCCCAAAACGTGTGAAGGACAGACAGACGGATGGAGACAGACAGACAGACAGACTAACCCATTTTAATGGTCCCCTGCTTTCTTTGAAAGGCGGGGGACACCAATCAGATATCAACTTGATCAAGGGCCATATTTCTGGCAGTAATTATCGGAAATCGTATGTCCTGAAACATTGTGTATGAATTTAAAGTCATTCGGATATTAACTTTATTCTCTAGAGTGATCAAGAGCCATAATTCAGGCAGTAATTACCAGAAATCGATGAAAATCAAAAGACTTGTTTGTCTCATGACCTAAAACACTGTGTATTAATCGGATATTAACTTCAGCCTCTAAAGCGTCCACAATGTGGGCGTATACAAACTGTCTCTACTGCATTATCAAGCCAATTCTTGATAGACTGATGGACATACAGGGGTGACAACACAATATGGCCATAATGAAATGTGAATGTATAAATTCAGTTACACACAATAAGTAGTATCCTTGTGATGGAATAGTGCACCTATTTAAGAATTTTGCTTTAAAACATTTTTGAATTTGGAAGTGGGTACATTTATAACTGTTTATTTCAAATTAACAAAATTCATGTTTGAATATAATGTTTCTCCAATAAAGCAACAGTAATATCAAACATATTTTAATGAATATTTGAAATACTTCACCTACCTAATACGATAACTCCACCAATCCAAAATTGAACTCGTAAAAGATCTCTCCAGTTACAAGCTAACAAAACTAACCAAACTAATCCTATGATTATATACAGTAAACCAACAAGCCCAAAAAACTGTAAATTAAACAGCAATACAGGTTACATACAGTAGAAAATATATAACAAATAATACACACTGTAGTATTACTAGTATTTAGTATCTAAATTGGCTGCATGACCTGTTGTTTTTTTTTCAAGCAAGTCAACAGTGAGGCTATGTTTCTCACCTCAATCATAAAACAAGCCAACAGTGAGGCTGATGTCCCCCGCCGAAATCACCAAATAAATAGATGACACATCTATTTTTTTCAAAAGTATCGAGCAATCAAACTGATTATCAACTATACACTAAGTTCCATCACTCTCTATCAGATAGAATCAAAGTTATCTTGTTCCAAAGCATCAACCAAAAAAATTGCTTTAGCTCGATATGTTAATCATTGAACTCAGTCAAGACGAACATCTACATCAAGTTTAAACATTCTACCTCAATTAGAAGTAGAGTATTTATGTTCCAAAGTCTTGACCAATCAAAATGCTTATTGCTCCTTAGCCTAAGCAGACAATTCTCATCATCGAACTTAGTCAAGGTATTGATGTAATGAAACTATACACCAAGTTTCATCACTCTCCCTTAATTAGAACTAAAGTTATCGTGTCCCAAAGCATCAAACAATCAAGTTGCTTATCATTACTTACCCTAAGCAGAAAGTGCTCATCTTCACACTCCATCAAGGCAATGACCTAATAAACACCTACACCAAGTTTGATCATTTTAGCTCAATAAGAAGGAGAGTTATTGTGTTCCAAAGTCTCGGCCAATCAAATTGCTTATCGCTCTGCTTACTCTGAGCAGAAAATGCTCATTATCGAACTTAGTCAAGGTATTGATGTAATGAAACTATACACCAAGTTTCATCACTCTCACTTAATTACAACTAAAGTTATCATGTCCCAAAGCATCAACCAATCAAATTGCTTATCTCTGCTTACCCTAAGCAGAAAATGCTCATCTTCGAACTCCATCAAGGTATTGACCTAATAAACACCTATAGTCCGATCGTTAATGTAAATCCGTCGGCTTTTCGGGTAGAAATCGTGGAATAAGCTTTATTTTGTAGGTTTTGATGTTAGATTACAAAAAACCAATGTTTTTGAGTAGGTCTTCATAGTATTGGAGGCCATTATTTGAGGGTAGCTATTTTGCGATAATAATCCAAATTATTTTTTATTTTCACCTTATTTATAATGTTATCGACATATCAACTGTGATTTGGCAATGTATTAATATTGGCGGCATTCATGACTATATCTCAGATTGTTTACCATCATTTCATGATGATATTTCCAAGATGGCGCCCATTTTTAGTAGGAAAATTGGTTGATGTGTTGATTTGATTAAGAAGTAGTGTTTAGTGTCAATATATATGTTTTCGGGGTCACAGATTCCATTCCTGACATTTACAACCTTGTAAAATGATCACATGTTCATATACTTAGCATATTACCAAGATGGCGGGCATTTTTGGCGGGAAAATGAGACGATGTGCAGATTTTGATTAAGTGATAGTGTTTGGTGACAATATATATGTTTATGGGGGCACAGAATCAATTTCTGTCATTTACAACCTTGTAAAATGATCACATGTTCACATATTTAGTATATTTCCAATATTGCTGCCACTTGTGGCCGGAAAATCGGACGATGGGTTGATTTCGATTAAGTAGTTGTCTTTGGTAACAATATATATGTTTTCGGGGAGGCAGATTCGATTTCTGTCATATACAACTACAACAAATGGTTGTATGTTCACCAATTTAGCATATTTCCAAGACAATGGAACGTTTTCTAAACACATTTTTAGCATTTATTTATCATCGATTTTCCTGGGAAAGTAAAGCCTATTCCTGGCATGAAGGCAAAAAGAGCATAGCAGAAGCGTCTTGCTTACGCCAGGTGTCCATCATGCGCCTGCAACAACCACACCAAGCGCTTACTACAATTAAGATCTTTCTACGCTCATGCCCAAGATCTGGCTGCGCGAAAAGTGTTCACACCATGATCTCGCGGTCAGACCGGAACACTTTCTCACCACACTCCAGTGACGTGCCTACCACAAAAACGCGACTACGTAATCAAAATCAGCACATCGTCCCATTTTCCCGTCCGACATGAAAGCCATATTGGAAATATGCTAAATATGTGAACATGTGATAATTTTACACAGTTGTAAGCGGCAAAAATGGAATCTGCTCCCCAAAAAATATATCCTGATACCATAGACGACTACTTAATCAATATCCGCACATCGTTCCATTTTCCCGCCAAAAATGGCTGTCATATTGTAAATGTGCAAAATAATCATTTTACACAGTTGTTACTGACCGAAATGGATTCTGTGCCCTTGAAAACATATATATTGACACCAACGACGACTACTTAATCAATATCAACTCATCGTCCTATTTTCCCGCCAAAAATGACCGCCATCTTGGAAATATGCTAAGTATATGAACATGTGATCATTTTACAAGGTTGTAAATGTCAGGAATGAAATCTGTGGCCCCGAAAACATATATATTGACACCGATTTTCCCGCCAAAAATGGTCGCCATCTTGAAAATATCATAATGAAATGATGGAAAACTATCTGAGGTATAGTCAAGAACCCTGCCAATATTAATACATTGCCAAATCACAGCTGATGTGTCGATAACATTATAAATAAGGTGAAAATAATAAAATATGTTGGAATATTATCGCAAAATGGCTACCCTCAAATAATGGCCTCTCATACTATGAAGACCTACTCAGAAAAAATGTCAACATTGGTTTTTTGTAATCAAACATCAAAACCTACAAAATAAAGCTTATTTCATCATTTCTATCCGAAAAGCCGACGGATGGGAATTATGTAACAAACCGAAACCGTCTACTACACCAAGTTTGCAATCGAAAGTACGATTTCATACTCGGCATACACAGACACTCATATTACGATTAAAAACGCATAGACAATGAATGTTAGGGGGGTGGGGTTTAGGCCCAACGGGAATCAACATAGGCCCTGACCCGAAATTAATTAGGCCCACGCCATTTTAAATAGGCCCTATTGTTTGGAGATCTGATCTTATTTTTTAAACGTAGGTCTACAATGTACGTTAAATCCTTGTAAGTTTTCGGTTATGTCTTGCTTAATATATTGTATCCACGTGAAGTCATTTATGGGCATAAAAAGTTACGTTACCAATATCAAACGACTTTGGCTTGTATAGTCTAAGACGCATTACTAGTTATGACGCGATTGTAGGCCCCTGGATAACCTCAGTAACGTATCTCGTTTTTAATGTTAGCAACTACCTTGGCTCTAACTTTAAAAACTAAATAGGCCCTCCAGCAACTGCCGCCTCAGGCCTTGGTGGAGCATAATCCGCCACTGATTCTAGGTCAATTAGAAGGAGAGTTATTGTGTCCCAAAAAGTGTGACGGACGGACAGACAGACAGACAGACAGACAGATTTTAATAGTCCCCTGCTTTCTTCGAAAGGCGGGGGACAATAAATGCATGACACATAAAAACACTCATGGATTAACTCTACAAAACATTTTCCATTAAAAGCAGACATGTACCAGAGTCTCAATTATCAAGAAAGCTTACAAAAAACTATTCTGTTAAATGTTATTTAAATGACACTGGATATCATAAACGGATGCGTATTTATGAGGAAATGGCAACCATCCATTTGCCTGCCCAAGTCTTAAGGATCTTTTAAGAGAATTCTACATGCAGTAATAAGACTTGAGAAAGTTATTCCCTGCTTGTAAATGAATTTTTTTGCATTTAGCTTAATGTACAGTAACAGAGGTATATTTAGGCTGATTTTACTTTTTAACAAGTGGTTGCCAATCAAGATGCGCAAACATTTTGCAAGAGATGGACAGAGAACAAGCTAAAACAAAAAAAGAAGATTTTTTGGACAATCAGGGGCCATAATCTAGGAAGTTACAGTCCGATACATAAAAGTATCAAAAGCAACCCAGATCTTTGGAATATAAACATATATTTTAAAGGGGCGTTATGTAAGACTTGGATAAAGACCTAGCTGTTTTCGCTACAATATTTAAAAGATTGGTTGGCATGCAACAAAACATATGCCCACAGCAGTTAAATCTCCCGGGCAGTCAACAATAGTTGTCGCATATTTTAACTTTTGTCGGTAATAAAACATTTATAATACACTAAAATCTGATTAAGAGTAACAACTCATTAAGTAATTATCAGAAAATCATTAGAATTTGTTTGGCCCACCTAAGGTTTAGTATACAAAACAATTGATATCATGGATTTACCTGTTCAAATTATCAAACAGTGGCTGCCAGGCAAGATGCGGCCAAATTTAGCAAGAGATGGATAGAAAACAAGCCAAATAAAAAGAGATTTTTCTTACGATCAAGGGCCATAATTCTGGAAGTTACGATTCGATATGCATAAATATCGAAAGGAACCAAGATCTCTGGGTTATAAAGATATATTTCAAGTTTCATTAAAATCGGATCAAAATTGTGACTTCTACACGGTCCACTACCCTGGTGTAACCGTGATATATTCAAGATCTTTGGGTTATAAACATGCATTTCAAGTTTCATCACAATCAAATCAAAATTGTGACCTCTAGAGGGTCTACAACCTTGATATATACCGGGCCCTGCCCTGTTTATAAAAACTTAAATTAAAATCACTAAAATAGATTTTAACTAAAATCAAAATGAAATTTTCAATTTTATGAGTTTCACGAAGATCGATTGTAACTTAAAATGCAATTTTAATAGATTTTAATTAAAATTGCTTGCGTTCGCGCAGTGCACAATTCCGGCGAGGGCACTCAAGGTGTAAGCTTAAACGCTTCGGAACTGAAAACTGTTGCCAGGTTAAACTAACCGTTACAATACCAATGAGGAGAGTTTCATACTTTGTAACAATGTCTGCACATGGTCAGACAGTATTATTTTAGTGGATTTTATCTAAAATGCTTAAAATCGTTTTGTGAAACGCATCTATCTTAAGTTAGGATGG